GCCAGGAAAACCCAAGCAACTGCTGATCCTGTCATGGTTTCATAATGTCACCTAACACACTGCTCTCCAGATACAGCCCCCTTTTCAGGCACTGTTTCAGGGAGAGTCATGGGAATTTTAAGGCCAGAAAGAGCCGTTAGATCATTTAGTCTGACCTCCTGTATAGCCCAGGTTATTACATTTTACCCACTTACCCCTGTACTGAGCTCAGTACCTTCTCTTATCAATCTTCTACACTTCTTAACTTGTAATTTATACTGATTACTACCTCCCCTTTGCCACACACACACACACACAGAGTTTTTTTTATTTCACTTTGCCACTGCACCAGAATAGGCTTTTAGAGGAAGTTGTTCTTTGATTGTGGAATCGTGGCTTTTTGACCAACAAACTTTTTTTAAAAAATATTTCCTTCCAGTCAATTTCACTCAGTTTTCCCTGGCTTTGACAAATTGGCTCTTTTGTGGATAAGAATGAGGGTGAAGGTAGGAGCTTCAACCCTAGAGGGCCTTACTATCTTCTCCCAGGGATCAGAAATCCCCCACCACTCTTGATTGAGCAGGTCCTTTGTCCCATTTAGCTGGCAATGCTCTGTAGCTCCTGTGTCTGGTGGGAAGCCCTGGCTGTCTACCCTACAACGCCTATGTCAGCATAGCTCCCTAGCATAGATGCAACCTACAGGGACAGGAGTTTTTCTGCTGGTGTAAAAACAGCACCTCCCCGAACAATGTTAGTTATGCCAGCAAAAGTCCTCTTGTGTTGGCACAGCTGCATCTTCACAGCATAGCTGTGTCAGTCAAGAGTGGGGTTTTTCCACACCCCTGACTGACAAAACTTACACTGGCATAGCTGTAAGTGTAGACCAAGCCTGTATCTTATATGGTCTTCTAAGTTTCCCAGCCAGCCTCTTGTCTATAACTAGTCCGTTTGGTTGGGGGTGATGGTTGTTGGTTTGAGAGGCTGCCAGGTTTGCTTTGTGCACACACCTTTGTTTTGTTAGGCTCTGGGCTGTTTGTCGTTTTATACTTCCTTTTTTATACGTATGTGACTCATGAGAAGCGCCTTATAACTGGGTTAGCTACAGCTCTTTCCTCCAGAAGCTGCCTAGACTTGTCCGATTTGTTGGGCATACCTAGGCCCAAGAATTTCTTGGGTTTCCTTAGAAGGGGGGGGGGGGGAGAGCAAAAAAAAATCATCAAGCTCAAAGTGAGTCTTGTCTAGGACTCCTCAGATTTCTGTTTTCCCAGCTGCCCAAGGGAAGGGACTAGACGGTATAGAACAAGATGCAGGCACTCAGGGAACAAAAGGCTTTGAGGCTGGTTTGAGCACCAGTGCCAAGGTCCCCAGGTGTTGCTTTCCAGTAGATGGTGCTTGGCTACAAGCCTGATTGGACCCATCTCCACCAGGCTCCTACCTTTTTCTCCAGAAGCGGTGATTTCCTGAATTACTGGAAGGGGATAAACAAAGAAACCACTTAGAAGACAGACAACTGAGCAGACACCAGCTTCCATTGTCTTCTTGTTCAGGGGAATAGAAATAGTCCCACATTGGTGGGAGGTTTCTCTCTAGCTTTCCGAAGAGATGTTGTTTACTCGTTAAATGTCACTTGAGTTCATTGGGTTACATACATGATCCCTGAAAGCACAGAAACCCCAACTTCATGTCAGATGGAGCTGCACGGGTTGCCATTTACAGATACTAGAGAAGGCATGTCCATGATAATTTTCGTTAAAGGATCATTCCTATCAAAGGCCCAGTGGTGAGGAGCAGAAGATCTGGGTTCTACTGCCAACTCCAACAGTGATTTGCTATAAGAGTGTAGGCAAGTCACAGCTATGTGCCTGGATTTAACCATCTAATGGGAGAATATTTCTGCACAAGCATGAAGCACTGAAAAAATCCTTGGGCAAAAGGTGCTATACACGGGCAAAATACTAGTTCCAAGAGAAGCAGTTTCACCACATGATTAAGAAAAACGAAGCTTATTGTGACAATCAATAAGGCAAAGCATGGAGAAGGAATTAGCTCAACAGTAACAAAAAACTCTAGGTCAGGAGTGGGCAAACTACAGCTCGTGGGCTGCATTCAGCCCATCAGACCTTTTAATCTGGCCCTGGAGCTCCAGCTGGGGGAGCAGGTTCGGGGCTTGCCTGGCTCCACGCGGTTCCCGGAAGCAGCACCATGTCCCTCCTCCGGCTCCTACACACAAGAGCAGCCAGGGGGCTCCACACACTGCCCCTGCCCCAAGCACCAGCTCTGCAGCTCCCATTGGCCAGGAACCGTGGCCACTGGGAGCTGCCGGGACAGCACCTGCAGATGGGGTAGCATGCAAAGACACCTGGCTGGTGCCACGCCTCCGCATAGGAGCCGGAGGGAGGACATGCCGCTGCTTCCAGGAGCTGCTTGAAGTAAGCGCCGCTCAGAGCCTGAACCCCTGACCACTTCCTGTGCCCCAACCTCTTGCCTCAGCCCTGATCCCCCTCCTGCCCTCTGAACCCCTCGGTCCCAACCCGCAGCACACTCCCGCACCCCAAACCCCTCATCCCTGGCCCCACCCTAGAGCTAGCACCTCCAGCCAGAGCCCTCACCCTCTCCCGCATCCCAACCCTCTGCCCCAGCCCAGAGCCCCCCTCCCACACCCTGAACTCATTTCTTGCCCCACCCCAGAACCCGCACCCCCTCCCCCAATTTCATGAGCATTCATGGCCCGCCATACAATTTTCATACCCAGATGTGGCCCTCAGGCCAAAAAGTTTGCCCACCCCTGCTCTAGATCAACCCGTGTCACCACCATCCTGCCTTCCTGCTAGTACACATTTTTAAAGCAAGACTGTAGCATGACAAAAGAAAGACTGTGGTCTTCACATTGCTAAACCTCTGGTGACGGTTATGTGAGTTACTTACTGACAACTCCTCTATAGGGCTATAGAATCCTAGAAAACGCAGGGCTGGAAGGCACCTTGAGAAGTCAAGTCCAGCCCCCTGAGCTGAGGCAGGACTAAGTTAACCTAGACCAGCCCTGACAGATGTTTGTTCAGCCTGTTCTTAAACTCCAATGATGGGAATTCCATAACCTCCCTTAGTAGTATATTCCAGAGCTTAACTATCCTTATAGATAGAAAGGGTTTCTTAATATCTAACCTAAATCTCCCTGGCTGCAGATTAAATATTAAAGAATGCTATATTTAAAGAGCACTGTACTGTCCTAAAGACTCATTTGTAGCACCATTCGCACTTCAGCATAGCAAAAACAAACCTTAACACACTAAAATGCTGAGCACTTGTGTCATTTAAATAGCTCCTTCCATTTTTGGAAAAGGATTAGTAAGTTATAGAAGAGAACTATTTAACATTCAGGAAACGTAATGCACACGTGCAAGTTATCAATCATTGTAGGCAGATGGTAAATGTATCTCCTTTCACCACAAATTGAGCAGCAAACATTCAAATTCATCACCAAGACAACATATTTAAATTCACTTCTATTTTCAGTTCAGACATTCTCAACAAATTGCTAAGTAATGAAAATCAATACTTTTGTCCAAATAGTTGAGGAAAGATGCTGGAAAATCTGCATCATTGTAGCAGAGGCATGTTCTAGCTATTTGAATCGTATAAAGTTGTTAAAAAGACACATTAACTCGCGGTTTACATACTTATGTAGGTCAGAATGTTCTTTGAAGCTAAAAATCTGACTTTTCACCTCCAAGCTAATAGTGACCGAGGCCACAGCAGCGACTAGCAAGGTATTTCTAAATTTGCTGTCCCTGTGTGTTAAAGCAGGAGGTTTCACTTCAGTCATGGAACAGTAAAAGCTTTGCAGAATAAAATTCAAGGGGCCTCCAATTCCTTTTTTGTTGCAATTTCAATTGAAGTTAAACTTTAGTAGCCTTAACAAAAAAAACAGGTTTAACTTTTATACCTACAGGTAAGGCAGACATTTACGTAAGACGTATTTAGCTAAAGCTATAGGTAAAGATGAGACTGGTAACACTCTTGTATAGATTACAGCAAATGCAGACCATCCATTTGCTTCATTAGTTTATTGTTCAATGATCAAACAGTATGAGAATTAAATATATTTAGGTTCTGGGGCCCTTTAGTGGAAATAACTGACAGTATCAAGCTTATTTGGGAGGCTGGGGATCAGAGGTATGAGTGGAAGTCACCTCAAAGATGAAAAGAAGCCACAACAAGCAAGCTAGGAAGAGGCAGAAAGAGCCTGCTCCACCTTCACTGTAGAGCAGGGGTGGGCAAACTAAGGCTCATGGGCCGCATTCGGCCCTTCAGACCTTTTAATCCGGCTCTCGAGCTCCAGCCGGGGAGCGGCGTCGGGGGCTTGCCTGGCTCCACAAGGCTCCCAGAAGCAGTGGCATGTCCCCCCTCCGGCTCCTACATGTAGGGGCAGCCAGGGGGCTCCACACACTGCCCCTACCCCAAGCACCAGCTCTGCAGCTCCCACTGGCCAGGAACCGTGGCCAATGGGAGCTGCAGGGGCAGCACCTGCAGACAGGGCAGCACGCAGAGCTGGTGCCATGCCTCTGCATAGGAGCCGGAGAAGGGACATGCTGCTGCTTCTGGGAGCTGCTTGAGGTAAGCGCTCCCCGGAGCCTGAACCCCTGACCTTGTCCTGTGCCCCAATCCCCTGCCCCAGCCCTGATCCCCCTCCCACACCCTGAACTCCTTATTTCTTGCCCCATCCTAGAGCCCGCACCCATAGCCGGATCCTGCACCCCAACCCCCAATTTCATGTCATACAATTTTCATACCCAGATGTGGCCCTTAGGCCAAAAAGTTTGCCCAGTCCTGCCATAGAGGGTCATTGCTTCAAGGATACGGTATCCCGAAAGGGGACGTTTATCAAACCATTAGGAAGACTGTTAACCACATAATGGGTTTGTTTTTACTTATGTGCAATCAAGCAATTACATTTTCTCATGCAGGTGATTGATTGAAATATATATATATATATATGCCAATTAAAATGTAACACCCAAAACCATGTCTTAAGATAAAAATTTTTATTTTACAATTTTATAAAGCAGCTTTACATTAAGCACAAATGTTGATCCATTTACTTGGTATATAAACATAATAGGACCTCTTTCCCTCTGCAAAAAATCCTGTCCTGCTGTATATAAAACTAACATGTGCACATTGTGCTTAACCTGCAAAGTCTATACAGCTTTACAAAGGACTACCCTTTAGAAGGGCACCCTGTAAACAATTTATTGCATATTTAACACATGGTGTGTACCCCCCATGTAAAATGTAGAAAAGAATAAAGTACAATTACAAAGTGAGTGACAAGAGCAGCTTTCAGTGAGTGTCTCACACAATGGCCGAGAAAAACGCTTGTACAGTTGTGCTTGTGTCTCTGGTTTGCACATACCCACGTGCACTGTGTTTCTCTAATGAAACCGACACGTACAGTAATCCTAGCGAATGGGTTAAACAGATCTTAGCATCGGAGATCTTCTGTCAGTTTAAAAACAGAGGTACAAAAGGGATTATTATACAGTGAAGTCAAATAAATGAAATTACCGGCACTGGTGTCTATTAATGCTCTCCCACAGCGCACTTCTTTTTTAAAAACGAAGAGGAATCCATGCGTTAGGTTCCATAAGCACTCCTGGTTGATTGCTTAATTTACATGCATATACACTCAAACAACAAAAATGCAATGGAGACTGCGTTAAAAATAGAATGGTACAACATCAGTTTCTCAGCTGAAATGACTAACCTATGTTTCTTAACAAATCTATTTGTCTGCTGCCGGATGGACTCCAATGTGAGGTATGAAACATGGAAAGACCAATGCCACTATTTGTTTTTAACACTCTTTTCCTAATTCAGTTGGAAAAGGTGTTCACATTGTTAAGGCACTGATATTTGTCACAGAAGCAGTACCCAAACCTTCTCATTTGAGTCTCCAAATCTAAAATGGGTATAATGTTGAGGAAACACACCAGAAAGATCTCTCTTTCACTCTCAGATAGTGATCAGCCATCGCAGAAGTAGTTTTTCCCCCCTTTTTTGTAATCTGAGGAAAATCTCCTCTCTGAACACTTTGGTATTGATAAAGATTTTAGGGTTCAAAATAGTTCTGCTGTGACATCTACTTTTTGTAGGAATCAATACGATCATGTGTGTTTGCAAAGATCAAAAGAGCTACAAACCTGTTTCATACATTGGTGAGCAAAACAGAAAAGGCTTTAAAGTCTTACTGTGATCTGCCACATCTCTCCTTTCAGTGGTTTGAATTTATTTTGTCCCCGATACAAACATCTCTCCCCACTCAAACTCTCCTTGGTATTTTTTTTTTTTAAATCACACAAGAAATAAGTAACATACAACAGGACCAAGCGGGAAAAAAAAAAAAATCTGTTACTAGTGTGTATACTTTACCATACTGGAATGTGTCTACAACTTAAAGGTCTGGGATTCATAATCTGTACTGACCAAAATATTAGCAGATATTAGTGATGCAGACTACCCTAAAAACAGTATTGGTCCAATGACATGAGTTGGTTTGTTTACTCTCTCCGAACTACAAAGAGGCAAAACACATGTTTAGAGGCCTACCAAATGCATGGATCATTTTAGTCAATTCCACTTTCATAGGATTTTAAAAATAGTAAATTTCACACTTTCATATGATTCCATCTGAAATTTTACAGTTTGTTGTAACTGTGGGGGACCTGACCCAGAACGGGGCAGCGGGATTGCCACCCTCACTTCTGCGCTGCTGCTAGCAGAACTGGGCAGCTGGAGAGCAGCGGCTGCTGACTGGATGCCAAGCTCTAAAGCCAGCACTGCGGCCACCAGCAGCACAGAAGCAAATGTTGCAAGGTATGGGGAGGTGGGTTACCCTGTGTCCAGGCTTTCCTGCAGCCTCTCCACCAGGATCGGGGGCTGACAGCTAGGGCTGTAGCCTCTCTGCCCAGGTCGGGGGGCTCCTCTCTGCCCAGGTCGGGGGGCTCCTCTCTGCCCAGGTCGGGGGGCTGTCGCAGCAAGCAGCTGCAGTGCTTCCTGCAGCCGCAAGAGGTTCCCGGAGGCGGGTCTGACCCAGCTCTAGGAGCAGCCTCTGCTGTGGAAGAAGTAGTCCCATCCCTCTCCAGCCTGGGCTGGGACTAGCAGCTGGAGCCCGGCCCATGGTAGGAGGCCCTGTGGCTGGGACACCCCCAGCCCTGCCCCTCCCTTACAATAGCCAGATTTCATGGGGGAGATCAGATTTCATGGTCCACGATGGGTTTTTCACGGCCGTGAATCTGATCGGGCACTACACATGTTGACATGAAAGACTGTAATGGCTACTGAAAAGACTTTATAAATATAAAAGGAAATTTCAGGTTAATTCTGAACAATAATGTATGTCACTGAATGCATGGGTTCGACACATTCAGTTATTGCACAAGTACTCAGTTGTCAGAGCAACTGAGAATCAATATAAAAAATTAAGCCAATATTGTGGGTATAACTAAGTGTAGAGACCTAGATTGTAATTAACATTTAAAATGCTTGATCCACTTTTTAAAAACAGTTTAAAAATTAAATTGCTAGAAAAAATATTGATACAGAAACCTCTCAAGTGTGGGTGAAAATACAGTACAAAACATCAGATTCCACAACAAGAGATTCCAACTACATGGGGGGGAATGTTGATTAGCAAGCCTCAAATACAACTGTAAATTCAAATTTAAATGGCATGCTTGCAGTTTTTGTGCAGTCAACTAATCCCACTTTGAGTTGTGCTTACATAATTTAAGAAGCCTGAATGCTGGCTGTGTGTGTTTTCCATTTACACATCTTTAAAGAAACCATATGTTCAACATATTCCTCAATATATAGAATTTAAAACAAATTTTGTGTATTTTTCTCCCCCCAAGAACAGAATTTGTATTAAAGAAACACTTTTAAAAAGACACACTGTCGACTACCCAGGTTACAAGTAAATACACATTTACTGCATTACATCACATGATCTGTAATTCTGTTTCCAACATATATACAGATAATTCCATTTTAAAAGAGGCCACATACTAACTTTTCAGGCAAGTGCTGGACTTTAGAGACCTGTATGGCTTCTGTAAATCATCTTTTTCCTACAAAAAGGAAAAATAAAAAACTTCCCCCACAAACCCAGGAGTACAAATGGATTTTGTCCAGTGCGAATAATTTCGCTATGGAACACTATATGGGCAGGTAAACACGTTAAAGTACCAGCTTTTATTCCATCCTTTGACTGGACCCCTGCCTCAAATTCTACCACCCAGATAGAAGTATTCTCACGCTGGAATGCAATTACTTTCTGAAGATCAGTTTTGAGGACCACTTTGAAATAGTCCACAAAAAACTTAGTATGCAACCTTTTAAAATGTACCTTTGTTTAGCTTTAATGAGTCCAATAATTCCCGTCAACAGCAGATAGCTGAAACGGGGTTTTGGTTGTGAGCTCTAGTTGTGCTTTGCCCTGCCACCTTTAAGGTAGCTCTTCCATCTCTTGACGAATTCTTTGAAAATTGGGGACTCGTCGATCGTGCTTAATAGCTGGAGTTGGTTTATGTGGGTGGTGTGATAGTCCCACCGGGCCAAGTTGGGAGCAGAGCTGAGCATGAAATGACGGAGGTCATAGATCGTTCCTGAGCCTGTATCATAGAGTGGAAGCATGGCTTTCAGGGACTCCATGCCTCGATCATAGAGAGACTTTGCCTCTTTCCCTAGCTTCTCACCTGCAGTCTCTTTTAAGTCATACAGTCCAATCAGAGAGTACATGAAACCGTTTAAAACAAATGAGCTAGGAGAGGTTGGGTACTCTTCATACCAGTCATGTTTGTTCATAAAGACAGCTCTCACTCCATGCTGCTCTGATGGGAGCTTGTAAGGTGCTGTTGCCTGTAAAGCTGAGTTGAGGAATGTGTGGTCTTTTGTTAACAGATAAGCCCTGACTAACGTTGAAATGGCCTGCCCTTGTGCCATAGCAGAGTACCAGCCAGGGTCTAAAGATTTAAACCCTTCCCCTAACTTCCGTGTCACCATAATTGGCCAGCCACCTTTTTCATCCTGGTTCCTCACTAGCCAATCGCTCGCAGCAAAAAAAGCTGCCATGTGGGCAGTTGTCGATATAGTGACGTTATCAATAAAGCCTTTTCCCTTCGTGATCAACCTAATCACTTTTTTAGGCATTATTTTTGTCTGCTTCACAGCTTTTGTGTTGGAGAGACCCACTCCTTTCCTTAAGTCAGTTACCAGATCTCTTGTGACTGTGCTCCAAATGGTCCTAGGTCCAATGCCATAGTAAATATCTCGGTCTTTAAAAGCAATCAGCTGAGTGTTCGAGACATAGTGTATGGTGAAGAGCTGGTTCTTCTCAGTTGTTTCTAGAACCACAGATATGCTCCCATTTGTGATGAATTTGAGGTCAAAAGAAATAATAAAATCTCTTGAGTTCCCAAGCTGCAGAGACGCCCCTTCGGTATTTTCTGGAAAAAACACAAAACACAAATGAAAGTGGTTAGGGGTAAAAAATGATCCGCCAGGATGTATATTAATAGAACATTTAGAAGGAAGTTACACCATGCAATTAGGTTTGCCAGATAAAAATCTGAAATAATTCAAGGGCACTTAACCTAAAATCTGTGTTTCCATTGTGTGTGTCAGTTCATTATTGCTTATTACTAAATTAAGAACACAGCATCAATTAATGGGTCAAGGATGACTTCCCGTACCATAAGGGAAAATTTCCCTCCTCTATTCTACATTAGTGCATTGCTGCATTCGGTCTAGGAGCAGTGCCAAGGTATTGGCCAAATGGTTTCTTCAGGATCCTATGCTAGCTGGTCAATACCCCGGATGTAACGCAGATGCCAAAATGGACTCTTCAGGCAAAGGACAGCTGGCATAAGAGGAGACAGAGAGAGGGTGAGATGAAAAGAGGTAGATGGACTGCATCACTGAGAACCTGAAATATGTTTGGTAGTATTAAGCTATCCATAGTAGACCGCAATATGAACTAACCAACCAACACAATTCAAAAAATATAAACCCCTCTAGCTACAATAAATCTTACCCTAATTAGGTCTGGCATTCTAGTAACACAGTGTGGGCAATTTGTTCCAGCCGGTTATGATTCAAAGAAAGAAAAGCAGAAGAAAGAGTCACTTTACATTGTAAGTCACCTTTCAATAAAAATCCGATTTTGTGTGTGCAGATTGGGTGTCTGACACTAATTTGGCATTACATATTCTGGAACTTGTCACATAAAGCAGTTGACATGATTTGTGCCAACAGATTATTAACTGCCCACTTCTCTTCAGTTCCCCAGTCAGAAAACTGTATACATAGTTGCTGAAACTAGGGGTACTGTCACACCCCCTGGCTTGAAGTGGTTTCCATCCTATACAGGGTTTACAGTTTGATTCAATGCTTCTCAGCACCCCCACTATCCAAACTGTTCCAGTACCCCTGCTTGTATAGCTAAAATAAAAGGTAAAACTCCCCACGGCAGATTCTACTGTCATCAGCTTAGATGTTTACCAAGTTCCACCGCAGGGCCCACCAGCTAACTGTGCAAATCTACTGAAGGCAATGGGTGTTGCACAAGCATAATTGAGGACCTAATTGGGCCTGCAGTACATCTGTTACTGGTGATGCACCAGAAGGAAAGAACCCAACTTGATTTACACAGATTCTACTGAGCTTATTAGAAAAGAACTCTTTCTAGTTGCAAACTAAAAATATTTGAAACGGAAATTGAGGGGGAAAAAACATGGAGCCCCAGCTTTGCCATTTTTAGTCACACTTCAGACTAGAGCCACATTAAGCAAAACAGCTTGGAGAACTGAGAAAGAAACAGGTAGTTAGAGATCCATTGGGACCAAAATTAAAATCTATTAGCTGAGGTTTTGCCTGCTTGACAGTTGCAAGAGCAGGGAACTGATTAATTTAGTGGAAAAATGAACACAAAGCAAGTTTACATTTTAATTTATTAACCCCTACAAGGGCAAAACTCAGCTGTCTGGTTTTACTTTTTTTTTTTAAAACGTATGTCAACAATTAAATAAGGTTCCAAAGCAACACACCATAAAGAAACCCTGTTTCCTCACACATTAGCTTTTAAGTATAAAACCAAATCCCCCCAAAACTGTAGTAGATGATCAATCAGCTAATTAGTTTGTAAGACTGTACAGATCTTGTAGTTTTGAAAGCACAGAGGTATGATAAACATTTAAAGACAGTCATTTAAATTAATGTTTTTAATGGAATAAAATTCTCATGTGTGAAAGGTGATTGTTTCTGTGCTTGTGCTCCTTGATGTGTGAAATACCCCATAAATAATTCTAGGAACAACAACTGAGTTATGACCCACATTCCCTCAAGAATACAAGGCTTTCCCCATCTACCAAACTAATCCATTATGCTTTGCATCAAGACTGTAGTTTCATATGCTGCACTGTACAATGTCAGTTCTATCGTATCGCCTTTATGACTGAATTTTATGTTTTTTAAAATAAAGCTTTATTTCCTTTAAGCTCTGAAGTTCAGCGTCTGCCTTTGGAGTAGAGAAATAGCAGTGCTTTGTTACACTAGTGTTCTTCTTTCTGTGAATGACTAACACACCACCAACAAAATTACGTAAAATTAATTCTTTATAAAAAATGTTAAAAAGTTGACTGTCCCCATCTATCATTTCTACTTATTCCTTTTGCTTTCTACCATACAAAACACTATGGGAAGAGGGGCAAAAAGTTCAGAACCAAATAAAAAAACAAAAAACCCCTAAAGGTTGCCCATTACTTGTACTGCATTAAGCACCTATAAATCCATTACTTAAGGCCATCTAAGATGAGTGGATTCGTACTGTGGCCTTCAAGGTCTGAAGATTACTCTGCCATCAATAAAGGATGAGGGGAGAATACATAAGAGATCTTATAACCTTTCCTCTTCCTTATATTTATGTACTACAAAGACACAAGAGTGTTCTAACAACTTTTTCCTTAGAGACCCAGGCCTAAGGTGCTGACTAAAATTACTTCATTGTCTTTTTAAGTAATGGACTCATTAATTCTAATGGGTATTGATTAGGGAGAAAAATACATTCAGTCCTTACTAATGAGGCTTAGTACAAGGGGAAAATGTTGCATAAAATAATGCACTCTGTTGTATTGATGATTTGTTTTGTTACGTATGAAACAGTATATGACAACTCAGAGGAAGTAAAAGTATATTTTAGAACACTGAGTGGAGAAAGGAGCCATAGGCACATAGTGTCTTAACAGGTATATACATACAGACTGGGAAAACTCAGAGGGGCTCGGTAAGAACAAAGGCTCAAACATTGACTACAACTGCCAAGCAGACAGTGCAGCTGGGAAGGTAACCTTTCGCTCCCCACCTAGGCTAGTTGTAGCTGGGTGTCACTTAGAGCAGCCTGAAGGCTATTTGACATTACCTCAGACACCCCCAAGGGACTTACATGGTAGCTGGGACTCAGCAGGGCACAGGGAAGCCCTCGTTATAGCTTTTTCCCAGCCATACTCCCTTACACTGGCAGCAGGAAGCCACTACACCACTGGAGGATCCTCCTATGCTGAGATGACCCTCCAATCATCAGCTACTTTGGAGTTTTAGGGTCAGATTCTACCAGCAAAGGTGCATAAAGCAATTGTGCTAGATCCCTTAAGAATACCTGAACACCTTGGGCCCGATTCCAGAGCCATCCTGTGCATGAAAGCTCATGCATAATGAAACAGATGGCAGGTTACAGAATTAGACATTCTTGATTTCCTCCATTAAACAGTAGTACATCTTTCAGTTCAGGACGGTTTTGAACACGTTGGTTATTTTAATACATGTACAAGACATGCTAAACCCACCTTATGGATTAACCCTTGCTGCATGAATCTGCAGTACTGTTACAGAGAAATAGAACATTTAAAAAAGCCTGAAGCCACATGTAGTCCAGCTTCTCCTCTTTCCTTAGACTTAGGAAGGCCTGAATTGACAAACTAAATATCGTAAAACTTGTATGCTGAGTTTCAGCGCAACATTTACATTCTAATGAAAAATCTTAGAACACAGGGATTGATAATGGAAACACTGATGGAGTCCATGCAGTTAAGCCTGTAAAGAGGATATTGCAGGTTCACCCTATCAGTAATTCGTTAGCACTAAGATTGTGGAATTTATTTTACTCCCATTTCTTATTCTACAGACTGGTTCCCAGGTTATTTGCTTCCTCCTAGTTCTGTGATAGGCATGGCAACTAAAGGCTGCAGAATTTCATCTGGAGCTTTTCTGTTCTTTATCTGTGTGGTAAAATCTCTTCTATAATACAGCTTCTGTTCACTTTATAGTTACAAAGTTGAGAGATAAGACAGAAGGAAAATAAGAGACAGACAAAGGAGAAGACAGGTTTTCAGGTGAGATTTCAAAGATGAAAAGTCAACAAGGTTATATACATATGTATTTAATAAAGGACTCCCGTGGTAACATCTGCACAAAATTGACACAAATGGCTTATCTGCGATGTAGTTACAACAACACACCTGGAACGACAAACTGTTTAACATTAGTGAACCTGAACTTATCAGGTACGGTTGAAACAGAACAGCCTTTTGGTACAGTCCAATCAATGGCTCTGCTGCTTTTGTCTTTGTCTTCTGCTGTTTCATACACCTCTATGTGAGGTGGTCTCTCAGTCAGATTTTTACTATAATGACTTAGCCCATATTGTGCAATCTGGATTGGGTAGAAATAGCCTTGAGGTCCCCACTGTGTGGATAATGGCACACCTGTAATATAGGAAAAACACAAATAATTGTTAGAACATTTAAAATAGAGTTTAGAATTCTGTCTCCCCTTCTCTCCCCCCACAGTTTTACATAAATAAATGCCATTTACCAGAAGTAGCTTTCACCATTAGTTCTCAGGCACAGACAAATTACTCTCCTTTTTACCAAGGTCTGCAAATACTAAAAACTGATATCAAAACCGACCAGATGCAGAAGGCAAAGTGAAGTTCTCACCATGTTCTACCACACCCGGGCATTTACTTGCTTATTGGAATACAAGACTTTAATACACAAACATTTTTATGGATTTTTTCCTTCCACTCTGGAGACCATGAAATCCCTCTAATACCACATAAATCTTTGCAAATTAAATGTAAAACAACATTAGTAGAATTTTACTAGCATTTTTTCATGTTGAACCTGCAATTTTACTCAATACTTGCAAATCTAAACTGTTACAGCTCCCAAACTATAAAGCTATTACAAATACATCCTGAAATAATGTCTGTGTAATCAGAGATTTCCCCCACCCTGCTCTTTGCAGAATTTACACATACTCTCTGATCTAAACTTCTCTTCTTCAGGTTTAGCTCAACATATAAATAAAACCATGGCAACCTAAACCTTTGTCCCCTGAGTTAGGGTTTCTCTGCAAGGGCATCCTCGTCCCAGACCCTAGTTGCCTCTGAGGAGAAAGCCACTTCCCCCTTTATATTCGAAGTGGAATTAAAAAGTCACATCTACCAAAATCAGTCAATAAGAATTAACTGGCACATCTGTGCAGAGCTCCAACATCTGCTAACAGCTGGGCCCCCAGAGACCTGCTACAACCTGGTAATTTGTATAACTGAAGCTCACTGCGTAATGTAGTGCTCTTGAAAGCTCATTCGTCAATACACATTTTCTAACATTCTCCGTCATGACCAACCGCCATGATGTGCTTAAAAAGAGCTCCCCCCACCTTGTAATCAGTTTCCTTCTGCCCAAAGCACTCACTAATGTCCATTCAGTGAGGACACCCTCATTATCACAGCCATAATGATAAACATGTCACATCACTGACTGAATGGGGAAGGCAAGAGGAGCCTTAGTATATGGAAAGAGGTTCTAATTTATATGCCAATATCTGGATAAATGGTAACATGAAAGGAAATGCACACACAGCATGAAGCATGGATAAAATACTTTTTCCAAAATTTGCTGGAGTTTAACAAACATGATTTACTGGTCTTCCACCTAAGTCTCAAAGCTGAACCTTAAAATGGAAAGTGTTTTGAACCCCCGGTAGGAAACAGGATTCCAGCCCTTCAAACCTTTGAATGGCACAAAGTGAAGAAAGTTAAAAGTGAAAAATACAGTGGCATTTGCACCATTTTTGTCCCTTGCAAATGTCCAACTTGGAAGCTAGCTATCCCTGGAACCTGGTGTAATGAAAAGATTAAACTAAATTAAAGAAGATACACTTTCATAGATTATCAGTGCTTCATGTTACTAATAGTAAGTGTTCCTGAAAGTAACTTGATGGACTACTTCTGCCTGAAGAGTAAAAGCATCAAGGGAAATATTTAAGTACTCTGTATTATCTCAACTGCTGGAAGCTAGTTCACTTAGTATTAATAAGTGTTCTCAGTTAAGGGTGCATGTATTGGGATCAGAAGATGAAATCTGCTGTAAAAGCTTTACTTCTAGCTGTTAATTTAAGAAGATGACATGATTAATTGTCCAGGTCACAGGACACAAGGCAACATATTACCTTGTAAAAAAGAGACAAGGTAAAAATATAACATGAGCTCTTCTTCATTCCATCTAGGTGATAAGAACTACTTATCATCTTGCATCATTCTATTAGTTTGCATTTGAAACCTAAAACCTTTTCAAACGGTTTTACTTTGATATCCATCCTCTCCCCCACACACAGTTATTTCTCCCCTGAAACCTGTCTGCCAGATGCTAGCAAGTCTATTTCCCCAACCACATTAGGGCTCTTGGCACCACATTGCACGGCGACAGCTCTAAATGGCATAATGCAGAAAGCCAAGATTGTAGGTAAATGACACTTGACACTTTGATTAAATTCATCATTTGTGGCTGAAATATACAGCAGCTAGACATATTCCAGATCTGCATGGAGCCTACATATTTTGCAGTTGAGATGCTCCAGAACTTGTCTTGCTTGGTTTTGTACTGCAGTTTCACTTAGCTTTTCAGCCTAAAAGTCAGCAGTACTGCAAAGTGACTAACTGCAGTGATCTTCCAAATACATTCTACATTTAACATCCAAGACTGACAGCACACTGAGCACCACGTATGCGCAAAGAGGGGAATTTTTAATGAAATAGACCATCAATTAGAAAGTCTGATGTAGATAACCAGACTTTCTAAATGATATTCTACATAGGACTTTCTAATCTATTGTCTGTTTCATTAAAAATTCCCCTCTTTGCGCATATGTGCTGCTTATTGGGTCTTTAATTTATTTGTAATTTTGGGAGAGTCAGAAGACTCAGCATGCACCTGCGTTCCCTCTAATTTTTCCCAGGTATGTGCGGAATGAATTTTGTTATGTGCACCAATATGGAGGTGATGCGTGACGCCTCCTCGGGCCACAGCAGGTCTGGGGCTGCTTTGGGGCCAGGGGAGAGGCATCTCTCCCCACCACAGCCCTAAGCGCTTGTGTGGCGATTAATAGGCTGCTGCACAGCCGCGCAGCTTAGAGGGAACTTAGGCATGTACTCTCCCTTTTTCCTCCAAACAGAGACGAATTATGGTCAGGCATCTTAGGGTTGGTCTATGCTCAGAACTTACATCGGCATAGCTACGTCTCTCAGGAGTGTGCAAAATCCACACCCCGACACATGGAGCTATGCCAACCTAACCCCAATGTAGACAGTGTGTGGTGGACAAGAATTCTTCCATTGATCTAGCCACCACCTCTTGAGGAGGTGGATTACCTATGCCAATGGGAGAACCTCTCCTGTCAGCATAGATGGTGTCTACACTGAAGCACTGCAGCTGTGCCGTGGTAGTGTTTGAAATATAGACAAGCCCGGGGCGGGGGGTGTGGGAGTCGAGTCTACATTCAGAACTAGACCACCTTGCAACCCAATTGAATTGGAATGTGTAGAATTAGTAAACACCTTTCTTGTAGGGCACAAGAACAGCTCCAGATGTCCTTCCTCTCTTTCCATCTCATTCCAAAGGAAGGTGGCCGTTTAAAAACAGGAGGAGGATACCACTACATTTTGAGATATTAGGGCTAAGATGTCATCTAGCGAATGCCCAACATTAAGATATGGTGAATTTTTAAAGGAGCTACAATGAACCCAAAATGGCAGTTACAGAACACAGGAAAAGAACATGAATTTAAAGAATTGAATTCAGTAGTTTTGGAGAGATATTTTAACACCATGTCCATTAAAAACAGTAGTTTTTAGAAATGTGTTTGATAGGGCATCTTATATTTTTTCAAAATATATTCCAGAGACTAAAGTAATTTAATACATTGACTGAAAAGATAGAATAGTATTTGCTTGGTTGATACCTAAATTAGTGGGAATGTGATAATATAACCTGAAAGGATCATAGCACATCGTATCACGATTAATTCAGACATGGTTCACTCACTCCTGTGCATCTTTTAAAACAAAACTAATCTACTGATGTTCAGGGGTTTAGAAGTGACCCTACTCTGGAAGTAAGAACTGATACTAGCATACAATGAAACATCACAAATTAATGAATTTTTCAAACTAGTAAGTTAATTGTTAGGAAAAACTCAGGAATACACCACCACATTAATGCACTTTGTTCATTTATTTCACAAGTGCAGTTTAGTTTTAGTTATTTATAATATATGACAGTATGCCAGTAAGTTTTCCGTAGTACGTTTTGTAAAAGTAATTAATTGTTAGTTATGAGATCTTGTTAGAGTTTTCTGCTATTAAATCTTTCCTATGGAGTGGAATGAGAGCTGTTTGTGTACGAATTATCGATTGAGTGGCTCAGCAAATTAGAAAAGTTCTACTGTCCTGTAATTTTATTCAGAGTCTTATGAGATAAAGCTTTAATGGCTTAAATGCCTTCCCATTCAGCTCACACCATTCTTCGAAATCTCTCCTGTAATTACACAGAAAAGCATGAACTCTCCAATTTGAAGAAATACTCTTATCCGGTCTTCAGAAATCGCAGTGATTCTGTTACCTTGTTGCATAAAACCTGTGCTAGGCTAACCTAGATCTGGAAGAATCTAACCTTGTACTCTTTTCTGCTTGTACACATTTATTGTTTTGCTCTAAAAATGTTCCAAAGCAGAAGCTTACACTGTTGTGCTAAATCAGACATTTATAAACCTAAACAAATAAAATTCATAATCTTGTTAAATACAACAGAAAGACAAAATACAAAAGACGGTTTAGCCACAGGCTATTGTATGGCAGAGCTCTGCCGTACGGTTTGTCATCTCTCTCCGTGGGTGCTAGTAAAGCATCAGAGCACGTTCTAGTGCTGCAGGTGTCCGCTATAAACCAAAATTAGAGCTGTCAGGATGACTCTGGAGGAACAGTAAGGGACAGACTAGAAAAAACTCGATGTCACTCATGACTCACATCCCCATTCTTTCTTAGGGAGGCTGAGAAAATGAAAACAAACATCTTGAATACCAAATTATGAGAGCCAATTTTCAGATGCATTTCATTCAGTTGTAAAATACATACACCACCTACCTTCAACACCACTTATGCACTTCACTCTATCTCGAACTTCTACATTGTAGCCCTCAAAGGACATGAATACTCCATCAGGGTGGTAAGGTGCTCTCTGTGCATATACTTTGGAGTAGCTATGAGAGAACTCAAATCTGTCATAGCCATCATACTGAGCAATTTTCCCATAAACCTCAAAGTATTTCTCCACCCAACTAAAGGGCAGAAAGACCTCATTGCCCTCTCTCCTCCCTTTAACTGTATGCTCATCATTGATCAGACAGTCAATTTCTTCATATTTAAGTCCCAAAATTTTGTTTCCATTGCTATTGAACCCTCCAACAACAGGGGGTGCTCTCTGTTGCTCTTGGGGTGATGCCTCCTCGCTCTGCTGCTTGGCTAGGTTATTTACATAGCTGTTACTTTCAGACGCAGCTGTTCGTTTTTCCAGTCCATCGACTCGGAAGCCACTGTTCAGGTTTCGGGGAACCTGCGTAGTTTTATCACTGGAGCATCTGTTCCACAGCAGGACCGTGACCAGAGTGAAGAGAGCGCAGATGACGATCAAAGTCTTATAGTTGACCCGAGCTGCCAAGCAACGCATATTCACACCATGCCTACAAAATAAAAGGAGGAGATGTTCTCAAGTATAAATGTGGAGTAGATTAAAACAGGGGAACGGACGGCTTTTGCTTTAGTCAACAGCGATAGAGCCACGTGGGGGCGCGGGTGTCAGTTTGGATTCAACCTCACCCCTGTGATTCTCTGTCCGACACACGGACTCTTTAACAATAGGTTTCAGAGTAGCAGTCGTGTTAGTCTGTATCCGCAAAAAGAAAAGGAGGACTTGTGGCACCTTAGAGACTAAAATTTATTTGAGCATAAGCTTTCGTGAGCTACAACTCACTTCATCGGATGCATTCAGTGGAAAATACAGTGGGGAGATTTATATACACAGAGAACAGATTTATATACACAAAGAACATGAAACAATGGGTGTTACCATATACACTGTAACGAGGTGGGACATTTCCAGCAGTTGACAAGAACCTCTGAGGAACAGCGGGGGGGGGGGGGAATAGTTTTACTTTGTGTGGAAATGGCCCACCTTGATTATCACTACAAAAGGTTCCCCTCCCCCCCCCAGGTCATAGCTCACCTTACCTGATCACTCTCCTTACAGTGTGTATGGTAACATCCATTGTTTCATGTTCTCTATGTATATAAATCTCCCCACTGTATTTTTCACTGAATGCATCCAATGAAGTGAGCTGTAGCTCACAAAAGCTTACGCTCAAATAAATTTGTTAGTCTCTAAGGTGCCACAAGTCCTCCTTTTCTTTAACAATAGTATCTGGAGGAATAGGTGTGAGGCTCTCAGACAGAGGTAAGCGTGACCGAGGCCTTTCATGGAGCGAGGTTGTGCACAGGCATGACTGAATTAGGAGCACCGTACAGTGGGGTATTCCTCAGGATCCCTCTAGGTCGCCTCCATCCCAACAAAGTGAATTTACGGATTAGTAGCTCACATCACCAACTTTGGACTATAGCAACAGAAAGGCATTTATCAACACAATTTTGTTGTGCAGCATGAGCAGGACATACCAGAACTGTCAGTAAGCTTTAGAGCCACAGTATATTTTCAAGTAAAGAGTCATAAATCTAGCAATGAAATGCTCAGCAGCAGGCGACTAGAGCTGCAAAAGCACTAATCACAGTAATCCACTCCGCAGCGCACACAGAGAAGTCAAACAAAGTACAGCCACTACCAAGTGTGACATGATGAATCATTTCTACTACTCCAACTCCAGAAAGAAGGGGGAGTAGGGGAGGAAAGCTCAGACAGGTAATACAGACAGTAATTGGTTAAACTAACAATACACAAAACTATCTAAAAAACCATAAATTTCTGACAAATGAAAAGACTAAGCTCTAAACTTGGATTTGTTTTGCTTTGTTGAACTGAGATGCCACCAAAAGATTTTTTTTAAAATTGGTGTTTTTAAAAAACTCTGTGGTTTGGAGTTCTGTGACAGGCTGGCACATCTGTTGGCTTATGTGTATTTGGAGAAGAGTGAATTAAATATTTATCTAAAGTCATTGCTGATCATTTTAAACTGCCTCACTTCAAAGATTAAATCTCAATCATTGCTTTCTTCAAACAGGCGCTTTCGAGAAGTTAGTGGCTAATGATTAAAAAAAGTACTTTAAGTTTTTAGACACCGATAAAAATGTGAGCTGATTTAAAAGAACTGGAAATATACAAATTTGTTCGGGTGTGGATCTTGACATTCAAACCTAGATCAATTCTTTAAGTTTCAACTCTTCAAATACTCTTTTTAAAATTACTAAAGAAAAGGAGGACTTGTGGCACCTTAGAGACTAACCAATTTATTTGAGCATAAGCTTTCGTGAGCTATAGCTCACTTCATTGGATGCATTCAGTGAAAAATACTATACTCAGTGAAAATACTCACGAAACCTTATGCTCAAATAAATTGGTTAGTCTCTAAGGTGCCACAAGTCCTCCTTTTCTTTTTGCGGATACAGACTAAGACGGCTGCTACTCTGAAACCTTTAAAATTACAGTTTATTACTGGAGCAGGCAGGCAACTGGACTATGTAGCGCTAACTACTGCCCTGTTCAACGCAGACCTCAGGCTGGGAAGGACGCCAGGGAGTTAGAGGCTTCTATTAAGTAGGAACAGAACTGGGAAAATGCGAGAACATCTGAGGGGACTACAGACTCTCAGCAGAAGTGTTTTTGGGCCAGATTTCTTGTACAAAGTTTCCATAGGGTTAATAAGAACATAAAACATGAGTTGGAAAGGCTTCTCTCATAGCAAAGGTCCCACTCCCCATTACCAGTTTTCTTGCCAAAAATTCCCCCTGCCTCCCCTTCCGCACCCTACATTACAGTAGGTGAAAGATTACGTTGAAAGAACACGTCAAAAGACGTGAGACTGGGAAATATAGGAATAATGAGAATAAATTTAAACTATAAAAGCATACTGACATAAAAAGCTGGTTTTACTCAAGAATGAAGCAAAAAACCTGACACCACAAGGAAAACACAAGAGCATTTTTTTAAAAAACCCACTGAATTACACAATGTGTTGCAGACTACTAGGTTTTTAATTTTTAATACTTGGATTTCTCTTCACCGAGGAGCTTAATCAAAACTTAATTCACATATATCCTCCATGCCAACATCTTTTCCCTTTGAAACTTCTCCTGAGTGGATGGCAAAGAGTGCCCAAAGGTTAAACATGTAACTACCTGATCTGATTTGTGAAGCACAGAGCTGAGCTTTTGTTTAGCACTGTGCTTCGGGAGCTGCCCTTGTCTTGCCAAGGCGATTGGAAGAAATACTTTTATAAAAGTCTTAGGGCTCCTCTCACACACAGAATTCAATACGGAGGTGAGACATCACTATGTAACTGAGAAACAGCCAGACGTCATGGGGTAGAGGTGGGGACGGAGAAAGAAACAGAGCAGATCTGATCTGTGCCATTACACAAACCACCCATGATAATAAATAATTAATATTATACAGGCTGAAGTACTACAGATTAAGATCAGGAAGTCAGGCCAGGAACAGTTACCACTGCAAGCATCTCACTGTATGCAACCATCCATAACAGACTTTTCCCCCTTAGCTGACTGGTGTTCTAAAGAAGCATCCACTCCCTGCCAGAGATCAGCATTAAGAAGGTGTCAGGATGACAACAGGATAAGATTTCTTGTATCTAGTGGCACAAACAAATTAATGGTTTAACTGCAATTAAGGACTATGAAAAATGGCTTGTTTATTTCTGAATTCAGAAAACGTTTGGTCCACAACATTGTAACAAATGCCGTTAACAGTACAAAGTTGTAGCACTATGCACAGCCTTTGGGCAACTACGGGAGGAACCTAAAGGAATACCCAGTGAAACAAGTAGGTTAGCTCTTAATATTCTTTGAAGCACAACTGAATAGGCAGAGCTGGTGGTTAAATTTCACATTTAAAATAATGGTCACACACCCCCCCCACTAGGGACTATCCACACAACTCTCTGAATCGACCTCAGATGACTAAATGAAATGTTTCGGCAACGGCTGTAGTTTCTGCTGACAGACAAATACGCAGGAATGATACCGAACAACAAGAAAGGTTCCTACCTCAGGTTGCCTTTAAAAAAAAATAGAGACAATGAATCACCTCACTAATTTTATGCTTCCATATTGTAAGCACCATCTGGCCATTTGAAACTGGACTTTAAAAGATAAGTGTCCTATTTTCCTGAAAGCCTAGTTTACTACAAGCTTTTAGAGAATATAAATTTGTATATAATTGTATTTTTATGGAAATGCTAATATAAGAATAAATCTAATTTTCTGCATCAGCAGATAATTTTTAGTGATGATGCTTTCAGGATGACCTCAACAAGTATGCTTTGCTTCTTTTATACAGAGAGATAATTCACTTTTAAATGGAGAACAGTACTTCCTACACTTCACCCCTATCCATAAAGCACACTTAACTAAATGTAAAGCCATCTGTATTATGGGGGGGGGGAGAAGAGGGGGAAGAGAGAAACAGCTCAATACATTTTTACATGCTTATTACTGCATATTTTAAACAGACTATTAGATGTCATTTTATGGCAGTGAATAGGGCCCAGCTATTCCCCAGTTACAAAATATATTTGTTTTAATCTGTGCATGTCCAGTGCATTGGAAGGCAGCACGTCTGCTGGTTAGAGCAGAGGACTTGAACTAAGCACAGCAAATTTCTGCTCATCTTTTTCCATCAACTTGAGGAGCGATCCTGGGCAAGCTCTGAGACCTTCCAATCCGCACTCTGCTTAATGGAGAGGGATTCTTAGTGTTTTGACAGCACTGAGATTCTCAGATGAAAAACAGAAGCGTGAAGTATTAAATTAAATCCAACATTTCTGGAAGATGACCAACAGCAAACTGCAAGTAAACTCTGGGGTGGGAGCAGACAAAAGCCAACCACCAAACTTCAAAATATCTATCATTAAGAAAGGTTTCAGAGGAACAGCCGTGTTAGTCTGTATTCGCAAAAAGAAAAGGAGTACTTGTGGCACCTTAGAGACTAACCAATTTATTTGAGCATGAGCTTTCGTGAGCTACAGCTCACTTCATCAGATGTTTACCGTGGAAACTGCAGCAGACTTTATATACACACAGAGAATATGAAACAATACCTCCTCCCACCCCACTGTCCTGCTGGTAATAGCTTATCTAAAGTGATCAACAGGTGGGCCATTTCCAGCACAAACCCAGGTTTTCTCACCCTCCACCCCCCCACACAAATTCACTCTCCTGCTGGTGCTAGCCCATCCAAAGTGACAACTCTTTACATAGTCAAGTCGGGCTATTTCCTGCATAGATCCAGGTTTTCTCACATCCCCCCCACCCCCATACACACACAAACTCACTGTCCTGCTGGTAATAGCTCATCTAAACTGACCACTCTCCAAGTTTAAATCCAAGTTAAACCAGAACATCGGGGGGGGGGGGGTAGGAAAAAACAAGAGGAAACAGGCTACCTTGCATAATGACTTAGCCACTCCCAGTCTCTATTTAAGCCTAAATTAATAGTATC